GCCATCAACAGAACAGACCCAGGTCTGCCAGCAACAGAACAGACCCAGGTATGCCATTAACACAACAGACCGAGGTTTTCCATTAACACTGCAGAGGGAGGTTTGCCATTAACAGAACAGACCAAGGTCTGCCAGCAACGGAACAGACCCAGGTATGCCATTAACAGAACAGACTGAGGTCTGCCATTAACAGAACATACTGAGGTCTGCTATCAACAGAACAAATACAGGCCTGCCATTAACAGAACAGACTGAGGTCTGCCATTAACAGAACAGACCAAGGTCTGCCATCAACAGAACAGACTGAGGTCTGCAATCAACAGAACAGATACAGGCCTGCCATTAACAGAACAGACTGAGGTCTGCCATTAACAGAACAGACCCAGGTCTGCCATCAACAGAACAGACCCAGGTCTGCCATTAACAGAACAGACTGAGGTCTGCCATTAACAGAACAGACTGAGGTCTGCCATCAACAGAACAGACCCAGGTCTGCCATCAACACAACAGATACAGGCCTGCCATTAACAGAACAGACTGAGGTCTGCCATTAACAGAACAGACCAAGGTCTGCCATCAACGGAACAGACCCAGGTCTTCCATTAACACTGCAGAGGGAGGCCTGCCATTAACAGAACATACCAAGGTCTGCCATCAACAGAACAGATACAGGTCTGCCATCAACAGAACAGATACAGGCCTGCCATTACCAGAACAGACTGAGGTCTGCCATCAACAGAACAGACGAAGGGCAATTGGAAATGTCCTGAAGAATAGCGTTAACATTATTACATTTGAAATGAATAGAATCTGTTCTGAGCATAATGGTACCCAAAAACAAACAACAACGTATGGTTAGGCAGAAGAATGGAATAACAAAATTACAGTGGCCCGCACTACAACTTGGGGGCAGTTTTATGAGGAATCCAGTAGATGTATCTATTCTCATAAGAGTGAGTGAGTGAGTGAGCGGGGTTTATCGCCGTAAATAACGTTTTTGACAAAGTTGTAAAAGGTATATTACTTGTATGATACGTTAGCTTACTCCTGTTTACAAGACTCAGAAATTTCTGTTCTGTCATTGTTTTAATGTTCCCACAAAGCTGACATAACAAGACGTAGAAGTTGACAAAAATGCTTTAATTGACAAAGATGCTTAAATAGGTGTTCTATATATTGGATATACTTTTGGTTGTTTGGTCACAGTCTCTCAGTGTTCACGATGGTGACATTTCTTTCGTAGCCCAAACATATGTAGCAGTACTGTTGCGTAAATAGGCAAATCATGCTTAGGGCTGCTCCCACTCCAAGCAGAGACAGAAACCTGCATGGCCAGACATGGTTTAATTACGTTCATTTCCTATTACAGACGTACAGTAGTTTAAAAGAGAAAGAATATTTTACTGCCCTTTCCCCTAATACACTGTTTATGTAGATTAGACAAGGATGGTGTTTAATCGCTGCAATGGTCAGTTAAACACCTATGCCCTGGGTCCTAGTGTTCCAATCTATTTAAATCATGGCCATAATTCAAAGAACCTTAGCATCTCAAATGTGACATTATTGTATTTAAATTTAATAACCGTATTTAAAATCGGCCACTTACAAAGATATTCAAGAACTCTATGCTTAACTGTGGAAACACTTATTAAGTCGCCCCTGCGTGATGCCCACTCGATGTCCAAGCCTCAGGTGTCCAAGCCTCAGGTGTCCAAGCCTCAGATGTCCAAGCCTCAGGTGTCCAAGCCTCAGGTGTCCAAGCCTCAGGTGTCCAAGCCTCAGGTGTCCAAGCCTCAGGTGTCCAAGCCTCAGGTGTGCTGGAATCCTGTGATGATCCTGTCCCTGCATCACGTCGGACATTCCTCCCATATCAAGCAACGTGTTAAAACTGAAACTCTGCTGTTCATTTCAGTTCTAGTTACTTATTTTACAATCATACAATGGACATCATATTCTAAATATTCAAACACGCACGCACACATGCACATACGCACACACGCACCAACAAAGTACTATAGTGTTTTTTTATTATGGTGTGTGCCGTTGTTTATGTACAGTGTTCAAAGCGTCATTATAAAGTAACCACGTTGTTCAGTCTGCAAGTACAGAAATCTTACCACAAATCATTGCTCCGACGCCAGTGTCAGTATGTTTCTATTGATGATGTATTGTGTTGTACCAGCAGCTGTGTGTTAAAGGCTTCCCCTCTGGTACATGAAATGCAGCGGTGAGTTTCGTTGAACAGAAGGAGTTCATGCTTAAGGTGCAGGCCTTTGTGTACACCGATAAGACAAATACAATGTTTGCTGTTCATTTCTTCTTGACGAAGAAACTCCCACACCACCACGATCTTACATGAGACGGCAAAAGACGTAACTACATTCATGTCGCGAGCAGTTTGTATATTGTTGCTCTTGTACACTTGGATTTGTAAATCTGTTGTGATTGATATACCACCATCTTCTATTATTGCCCTTAGAAGGGTGTTGCCCAAGCACCACTGCTGCAATACATCAGTTCTGATTCGCCTGTGTGGATTCCGGGGTAGAATGTGTACCCGAACCCTCGCGACTGTCGTAAAAGAAGACTGAAATGAGGATCGGATGGTTACAGTTTCATTGGTGTTCTTCTTGTCTGTTGGGAACATACACATCACCGTGACATAGCTGTCTGTTGGGGACATACACATAACCGTGACATAGCTGTCTGTTGGGAACATACACATCACCGCGACATAGCTGTCTGTTGGGGACATACACATAACCGTGACATAGCAGTCTGTTGGGGACATACACATCACCGTGACATAGCTGTCTGTTAGGAACATACACATCACCGTGACATAGCTGTCTGTTGGGAACATACACATCACCGTGACATAGCTGTCTGTTGGGGACATACACATCACCGTGACATAGCTGTCTGTTGGGGACATACACATCACCGTGACATAGCTGTCTGTTGGGGACATACACATAACCGTGACATAGCTGTCTGTTTGGAACATACACATCACCGTGACATAGCTGTCTGTTGGGAACATACACATAACCGTGACATAGCTGTCTGTTGGGAACATACACATCACCGTGACATAGCTGTCTGTTGGGAACATACACATCACCGTGACATAGCTGTCTGTTGGGAACATACACATCACCGTGACATAGCTGTCTGTTGGGAACATACACATCACCGTGACATAGCTGTCTGTTGGGAACATACACATCACCGTGACATAGCTGTCTGTTGGGAACATACACATCACCGTGACATGGCTGTCTGTTAGGAACATACACATCACCGCGACATAGCTGTCTGTTGGGGACATACACATCACCGTGACATAGCTGTCTGTTGGGGACATACACATCACCGTGACATAGCTGTCTGTTAGGAACATACACATCACCGTGACATAGCTGTCTGTTGGGGACATACACATCACCGTGACATAGCTGTCTGTTAGGAACATACACATCACCGTGACATAGCTGTCTGTTAGGAACATACACATCACCGTGACATAGCTGTCTGTTGGGAACATACACATCAACGTGACATAGCTGACCCACCCACTTGTTCATCTACCCATGGCCATCCACCCAGATTATATTTATAGGTTTGTCAGCGACCGTACCAGTGTTCGTGAGTTTCACCAAGTGGTAAACGTCTGAGACCTGCATCACTTTGGGATTTCCTCCCATGTCAAGCTGACACGCCGTGATATAACTGGAATACTGTTCAAAGCGGCGTTAACACGTGAAGATCCGGGTAGAGAATAGGTCTCCAGCAACACATGCTTGCCGTAAGAGGCGACTATTGGGTTCGGGTGGTCAGGCTCGCTGACTTGGTTGATGCATGTCATCGTATCCTAGATTGCGTAGATCTATGCTCATGATGACAATCATTGGATTGTCTGGTCCAAACTCGATTATTTACTGTGGCCGTCATGTAACAAAGTGGCGTCAAAACTCCCTCACTTACTCGTAGTTCCTTAGCCAGAACTCATAAACTGACGAGCAACAGAAAGTATACACTTGAAAGTTGGATTTTACCAAAACATTCACTTAATCAATTTGTTTCAGTATTTGAGGCCTCAGGCCTTTGTGTACAAACGTACAGGCGGAATTACAGTTAACCGTACATTTCTTTCCATATGTGCAGAGTATAAATATTTTGCTAAATTTGTAATGATGTTGACGATGTAACGAGTTTGGTGATCAAATGTTAAATTCATGGATGTTAGGATGAAGATAAAACTTAGTGTTACTATATAGTTGTCTTAACTGTACGTATGCTGGACGCACTAAAAATGGAATTCAGTTTCAACGCAGGTTTTGTTACAAAGTTTACATTTTCTTAAATTTCTAGGTATATTGAAGTGATTTCTTTCTTCATTGCTCAATTTCAAGATCATGACAAAAGACAATAAGAGATTAATTCTCCCACTGAGAAATCTTTTACCCTCCAAGGCGGGTCACACAGTATTTTATCAAGATCACGTGGACCAATCAGATCTCACCATTCTGGCATGGAGGTATGATAAACTTTCTTATGCCCGGCAGTTTCGTTCAGCCTTTCAGCTTTCTATTGGCAAAGGGGGACCACTCCATGGAGCGCTCTACGCACCTCCGGACAGACACGTCCACACTGCGGGCAATAGGCTGAAGTGAGTCAGTGTCGTTGCCCGTCAACACCGCTGCTGCCGCTGATATTTTACAAGGAATCTCCACGTTGATCATTGTCATTAAGGTTCAGGCGCTTCCAGGGCAATTCGCACCATACAGTTACGGACAAACAGATGGTACGGGGTAAGCTGAAGATTTGAAGTCGACTGTTATAACAGACAGCTGTTTTCCATTTCCGTCCCCTTCCCCAAAGATATGTCCAGCTACGTTACAGTTTAATCTTATAATGTACATCTGGCATATCTGACCAGTGGTCAATCTAGTAAATCGTACAAATACTGTTCTCTTTCTGTTAAAATACAAAAGACC